AGAAAAGACCCAAAATAAGGCAGTCCTGCACCTTTTTGACTCCTTCTTATGTATTTTGCGTACGCGTGGGATTCACCACACGCATGTACGCGCGCACACCCACCCCAACCCCCCGCCCAGGCCAAACTAAACTGCTAGAAGCACTGCGCATTTGGTTTATCGGGTACTTTCAAACACCAGTGGCGAGGAGTTAAACACAACTCTTGCACAAAGCAGCACTCAGCACTCTGAGAAGCCCTTACAGACCTTAGCAAAATGGTATCACTTTTTTTTTTAATTTCATTTTTGTTTTTCACATTTCATTCTAATGGATATTTATGCCCGAAGCTTTTGTACTACAATTATGAAAACAAAGATTTTTGGGCAGCTTTTGTTCCCAGTATCATAATTTGCAAATGTCCAATCTGATAATTTATGACACTTGTGTTCCTGTGGGGTTGGAGGGTTTTTTTTGATGTTTTGTTTTGCCTTTAACAATAAAACGATTACTTAAAAAGCTAGATACGTGCTGTGGGACACATTTCTTGAGGTGGTACTACTGTACCTCTGGACAATTGCCTTCAAGTCCTATGAAGTGAAATAAACTTACAGACCTTAATCTAGACACAATCAAATTTTTGTCAACATCACAAAGTTCCAAAAAGATGTAGCAGTACAGGCAGGTTTTTTTGCCAGAGTCCAAGTTTTCAACAACAACATGTTTTGAAGCTTAGGATTCTGGGTTTTCAACAGACCAACCCAGGGAGCCCTGCAGTCCCTGCTTGCTTTATCCTAATCAAGATTAACTCCTAGTTTTCCATGAACACTAACGTTACAAAGCAACTTCTTGCAGTGAAAGACACCTTAAATTTAATTTCAGCCAAAACCAAATCGCAGATCATCTATTCATTCTGCAACAAATCCACACGTTACAACTTCACTTTGTGGCACGTAGGCAAGGTTTGGCAAGCAACACACACAGACAAAAATGAAACTAAACAAAGGCAATTACCTCCTCTTTGCCTACGTGAGGACCAAAATTTGTGCACAGCTTCATTTTGTAATGAGTAAGGACTCATTTTTTCTGCACCCCCACATCAGAAATTAAATGGTGGCACAGAAGAGAGCTGCAAGATTAAGATACAGTTCAGGTGCCCTTTGCATCCACTACTGACAAGCGTCCCCTTTTCTTCCCCCCTTTGAAGATAACCCCAGGTATTTAAGATAACGATCCCCTTGCTCCCTGTCCCAAATTATAAAGGCATACCCACTGTGCGCTCGATTTGTAAGGTTATCATCTGCTCAAGGTATCAATTACATTTTAATATTGTTTTCCAATCTTGCCTAGCCTCTTAATTTAAGCTAGTTTGTCACTGTAAGGACTGAGACCATATTTATCATTTATTCTATCTTCTTATTTATTTTAAATCAATATTTCTCTCCCATGTAACTACTGCAGCAGAATTACCTAGTTTTACTTAGGCTCATTCATCCATTCAACAAAATTGCAATAGTGAAGAAAGATTAAAATAAGGAGATTAATAACAACCATTTCACTACACAACAAGAAAAACACAGGAGTGTCTGGAATCTTACCAAGGTTGATTCAAATTAAAACACAGCCATGTCTGCGGAAACCTGACCTTTTTGGTGGTAACAGCACACAGCAGAACATACGGATTTGCTCCCAGTCTCTGCTGTAACATGACAAGCCATGTTTTTCCTAGGTTCAGCGCAGGATCCAGCAGCTCCTGCTAATTAGGGACAGCCCCAGCAGCATGCCAAAAGAGTTAATGCTGCTTTGGCCATCCCACTTTTCATGATCATATCAGGTTAAGCCAACTGGTCAATCTAGTCCATGCCCACACTGCTGAGTAGTTACCTCTGACAACTAGTAATTTGCCATGCCCACACCACATGGTATTTGCCCCAGGCTTCCCAGCTGGCATCCTGACAGCCCTGAGACCTTTCTGCTTTGGGGTGGGGGCTTTGGGGTTTTTTTTGCTTGTTTAATTAATGCTAGTGTTCTCAAGTCATGATGACAGGGAGCATACTCTGGAGGGCAGTATGAGAGCACATCAGGGTGTGAGGGTACAGATCCTGCCAGTGTCCTGTCTGAAGGACTGCTGTAGGCAGAGTGGGTCTCTGCTGCCTGGAGCACAGCCTGAACAAGCGCTGTTTCCTCTTACAAGGAACCCCACAAACAACATTGCATGCATGGATGAACAGGGAACCAGTACACCGGAGTGAAACAAAAAAGCAAACCAAACTGACAATGTAACGCACCCTAGAAAAACGACTGTTCGATCCTTCTGTGCAAGCTCACGTGGAAAATTTAATATTCGAGACTGGTCTGAAGCGTCAGATGTGCACTTACAACTCCCTATTTCTACCATCATTTGACTCTCCTGTGCCACCTCACTCTTATCTTAATACTGTGCAAACACTTACAGATCAGATGCTAGGCAGATGGTTAAAGCTACATAAAGAGGTAAAGTCGTAGGCACTATTCAACAGAGCATTTCGAGGAACGCAAACAAATGCACTAAGGCCCTTACTTGCTGACTGATATTTCAATAGTTTTCCCCGTGTGACAGAAGAATGCTGCCTGGTTATTATTTGAACTAGGAACTGAACATAAAACTGAGCACGCAAATTCACTTTTCTTTCCTCCCATGTCCAAATATTCTCATTAACGTCTTGCCATAAAAATAAAGACCTTATCGTGACCAACTTAAGTGACCCGCTAGAAACACTGCCTTTTGAAACAAGTAACAATGCATCAAAAAAGAAAGAGTTTATGAAGTTGGTGGTGGATTTTCAATTTGCCAGCTTCTTTCGAATACATCCGTTATTTTAAGGTTTGTGAGTTACCAGAATGACAAAGCAGTTACTGAGATCGGTGGTTAATAAACCATGAAAACCCAAAATAAATTGACCAGGTCGTCCCAGACAGCAACTCATTCCTGTCATAGCAAGGTGTTTTACCCTTTTGGAAAACCTACAGCAAGCACAGCTTTGCTTGAAATCTCAATGGCCAAGAACTCTGTAGTCAGTTTTTCCACAGGAAGTTCAGGCTCAAACTGCCACCATTCTTCCCAGTGAAATTAAAAACTTTCTAAATAAATTCCGTATTATCTATGGTCTTTTCTATCCCAACACTTTTAATACCATTTGGAGGGAGTTGCCTCGGGGGTTTTTTGTGTGGTTTGCATGTTTTGTAGTGTTGGTTTTTTTTTGTTTTGTTTTGTTTTTAATAATTCTCTACATACAGACCTCTAGCTTGAGGTCCAAATGGCTCTTGCACTGCACAATGAATTTGGCAAAAATAAACAATCAACACTGAAAACTGACATCTGGAAAGGGTATGTCTGTAGGTCCTATTAAGTCCAAGATAAACACCTTTACTTACCTACTATCTGTCCTCTAACAGTATCATTGTCATTTGGCCCAAGCTTGCACAGATCCAATCTCTGATCTACGAAACAAGGACACAAAGAGTAAGTCATACAGTATTTTGCTGCCTTTGAATGGCACACTGACGTACCATCAGAACAAAATTCAGCCTGGCATAAAGTTAATACTTCAAGAGATGGAGGAAGGGAAGCAAAACTCACACTCTTCAGTCAAGACTTCATTTTAGAGAATGTTAAATCACGAAACAAGACTAGAATGCTCTTGCTTTAACATCTCTATTTCACAAAGCTCTTTTGATTAAAGGGAAATTACATTATCCTAGATGGGAAGTCTAAAGTCATTGTAAGAAGTATTTTGAACTCTCTTCCCTTGTGAAGAGCAGCTATTGTCATAATGCACTTCCAGTTCAACACTCACATCAGCACAGCACCGAGCTAACCTTTAGTGTTCCACACTAAACTTCATAAAACTCAAAAGTGCAGCGCACTGAAGCGCCAATCTAGTGACAAATATTTAAAAATGAGAACTTTAGTTCTGCCTTTTCCTTCAAGGAACCTGTTATTGAAGGCAGAATCACTCCACTTCTCTACCAGCATGTCACTTTTTTCTTGTTTATATAAATTATCTGTAGAGCCAAGCACTACTTTTCCATCACAGTGTGTCAAATTTTGCTCAGAAGTAAATGGCACCCATTAGGTTAATGAGGAAAACAGCATGTTACATGCTAATTAACTTTTATACTAAGTGCTCAAAACATTGTGAAGCATTTATTATCTTACAAAATGTACTAACTAATTTTGAAGACCCATTAATTTTTAAAGCTACAAATTTGGCTTCAAGATAGATTTACCCTTTCGTTTGCCCCTTAACACTTGCATTTTTGAGGTTAATAAATCCGTTTTCCTTTGGAATTCCAACACAGAAAGTTCAGTCTTGACAATCAGACTGCAGCACTGAAGTTACCACTGTCTACAGTAATGGGGCAAACCAGTTGAAAAGCCAAACGGTAAGTTACATTCTCTAACGTACTTGTGCTATCCTCAGCCACAGAACACCATTACAAACTACCAAACCAATCTGAATATACAAGTTTTATGAAACCCAACAAAAACCCAATGAACTGTCGCTCTTCAAAAATCCGTGCAGGAGAGTTTGCTCTGGAAGAAAAGAAACCCTAGTCTTCAGCTTACTTACAACCAGTGTCTTTAAGGCGGTTGATTGCGTTTGAAAGAAGCCTCACACAACCCAGAAAACCAGCTCCCTGCTTTTTATGAATTTTCTTGTGATTCCACACACTGATCGTTATTGAATCCGACTTCCCAATATATCTGAAAAACGTGGAAAAACAGTACTGTGAATGACATTACTGAATACATGGAAGATGCTCCAGAAACCACCTTGGGGAAAAAAAGATTATCAACCATTACATAAAAAATTTAACACACAAGACAGAGTAAGTCATCTTCAGAGAAGATGCACACATTATCCTCTAATGGAATTCTTATGGAGGAATTTACTTGAATACAAACTAATCTGAAATCTTGATTCTGGAAGAAGGCATTCCAAGTGAATCCAAAGCCTACCAAAATCTGTTTACAACTGTAACATGAACAGGCCGTGGGCTTAGACCACATCTCTTCAGGCAGCTACAGACATGCTTAGATTCCATAATGATAGATTCCTAATTGCCTATGCTCAGCCTAATCAGAGAGAATGGCAGTGCCCGTGGCAGCACGCGTTTGCGAGCAGCGCTAGCAGGCAAAGCAGTTCAAATGCCAGGAGAGAAGCTATCAGTTGGGCACCCTTTGGCAGCACTTCTGCTGCTGCTGCTTTTCAGGCTGCCCTTCTGAGCGCTGATAATGCAAGTCACCCTCCCTTAGAGCTCTTCTGAGTGCTCAGAGAAAATACCAGGCAAATCTAGTGCCAGGTCTGCAGGTAACAATCCTTGGGAAGCTGATTCACTATTAGGAAAGCTTCAGAAAGGCCCCGATTATAACACATTAGGTATTACAAAGTGTGACCCATTACAAGAGATTCATACAGTATTTTAGCTGAGATGTGTCACATTGCCCTACTGCCCCCCACTCCCACACGGATGCCTCCCCGCAGCATCACCATGGAAATGCTTTGCAAAACCTGGATCTGCGTTTCACCCACCTGGGGGAACCTGGACACTGTAGGCTATTTTAGTTTTGGGGTTTTTGTTTGAAGCGTTCTTTGTTCTTCAGAAACAGTAACTTTGTGAGACAGTTTTTGTTTTCTAAACTTTCAGAGGACAGCTTCAACTTTTTTTTTTTTTAAACTGATTAAACAAACTCAACCAATGTCTGAACACATCTCCCCCACTGACTGGGACCATCAGCTTTAAAGCATCTCAATACTTTCATAAGGACAGAAACAATACTGTCAAGGTTGGCAAACCAAACAATTGAACTAACTGTCATGGCTTAAAATTGCAGCTGTGATCAGCCAAGTTCTCCATTAACACTTCGCCCATTTTCCTTTTTGGAAAAGCAGAACTTTGACAACTTCTTTTCCCCACCTGCAGACAGGGACTGACTCAAGAAGCAGAATACAGAAAAGCCTCACTGTAGGCACATACCCATAAGCATGGTTTAAAATAACCAGTGCACATGTTAAAAACCAAAACAAAACCAGCAAAGAAAACACAAACTTCACGCAAAAACACCCAAAGTTTTTTGAATAGTAAACTTATTGCATAACGTAGGTCAGAGTTTTGGCCTTACAACCTTGACAATGCCAATTTTGCATAAAGAAATGAGAGATGAAGATGGGCATTCACGTGCACAGTTGCAGTCTACAATGTTTCATGTACTTAAAATAAACTCTTATGAGAACAAGTTAGGTGCACTTAAAAATAAAGACTTATCATGACCTGTCTTGATTTTTCCAGTTTTCCTTGTTGCTTTAAAAAAGTCAAAGGTATATGGTTAAACACAATTTCATAACAGAACAGTTTGAATAATATGTAGAACAGCTGAACATACAACACAGTTTCCAAAAATTACCCCAACACTTCAGGGTGAGGTTCTTAGTTGAAACGCAGACAGTAAACCATCCGTACCAAACAGGTGAGGACTTCCATATTACTACTATAACCTACGCTGATTTTTGCACCAGAATACCTGGCTGATTCACACATTTAAGGGAAATAAGCAAGACAAGCTACATTTTCCAAATAAAAATGTTGAGGTTTTTGTTTGTTTGTTTTCCAAAGGAAGAAAAGAAATAGTTTAGTAACTGCTACTTGGCTTTATAGCAAAATGTTTCACCTATATTTCTGCATAATTTCAGGCACGAAAACACATGGCTGCATTTAGAGAGCGACGGTAGGACAAGCTGACATTTCCAATTCATTTGGTGGGTAAGTTACATTTGTTTTACATCATCTGGCAATGAAGTTCCAACATAAAAGCCTGATCTAGGAATTTTATTTGTTATTATAAAAGAATGTTCAAAAAAACGGTTAGTTAAAAAAAAAAAGCAAAACCAGAACAGAAACAAAACACACAACCCCCCCATTTTGTTGGATGCCTCTCTCTTATTCCGCATAATTAAAGTTCTTGAAGCTGGTTTGCCTTTTCTTTAAGCTCTACCCTATTTCACATCTTCGGTACTTCAACGGAAAAAACAGGATTAGTATTAATGAAATGGAAACCTGGAAATTAATTTCCACATCTATTTTCTTAACTCCCATATTTCCTGAATCTGTAAAAATCAGGGCTCTGGATAAGAATTGAGTGTTCAGAAATGTTAAGAAAAAGTTCTACACTTAGCACTTCCACTTCTGAACAACATCAAGTACATGCCACACTGGGAACCTCTGAAATATTTCAATCCCATTTTAAAACACAGGGACAACTATTACTCTGTCTAAATAAATATATCTTTGCCAAGGTTGTATTTCCTTCTGAGCCAATATAACACTCAGGAAGGTTCAGTATCAAGTGACTTTTCATCCCCAGGGCATTATATACACTTCCCCTGGGGAGTTCAGCTTGGTAGAGAAAAGCAGAATGAAAAAAGTGGGGGGGGAAAAAATTCCTGAAAAACACACCTCTTCCTGATCACGAGCCAGATGTACTCCCTCCAGAAAGAGAAAAATGCAACATCAAGAGGTATGAACTCAGGCTTGGAAGCCAGGAATTCCCTATTTCTAATCCATGCTGCCACACAAACTCTTTTTATGACCTGGACAAATTACTTAGGGTTTTTTCTCCATTTTCCCATTTCTAAATTTTTTCTAATATAACAGTAGCGTTATGCTTTGAGTTATCAGCTGTTTTCAGACTGGGGGAGCAGAAGGTGCGAAGAGACATAATGAAGAGTATTATCCCAATTTTTTTCCTTTCTCTCATCCTTCTCCCTGACATTGCTCTCATCTCTGGTAGCAAATGAAGGGTGTTTGAGCCTCTGGGATGCTCAGAGACCCAGCCAGGGGCTGTGGGTTAGACAGGAACACAGCACAGACACATGATGCTGACTGGCAGCTCCATCTGCTCCCCCCATGCTCCCCAGCCCAAAGCTGAGCTGAGCCTACAAGACTAAAACAGCCACACCAAGCAAACAGCAAGCAAAGTGGCCCTCTAACCCAGTTGTTCCTAACAGAGCCAACTAATAAGTTCAGCAAAGACTTGTCCACTTGATGTGCTTGAGCTGGAATGGCCGGATCGGCTGACACAGGCCAAACACGACCCAGAAATGCTTCCACCCTAAATGCAAAGGGCATCAGCTTCATGAAGCTGGTCTAAAGAACCACATCAAGAAGGCAAAGCTGTTGCAAGGGGCTCTTTGACAGCACTTTAGGACAGGATTGTCTAAAACAGCACTCAGCAGAGCTGTGGCCTTCTCTCCCTGTGGAAAGCCCAGGATCATTAGCGGTAACTAGGCAAAGCAGAGTGGGAGGGTTGGGGGACAAAGGCAATTCTGCCAGGGCAGCGCAGGGGCTTGAGAACGGGATGGCGCCAAAAAGCACCAGAACCTGCAGCGAGACGTTGGAAAGAGGACGTGCAGAAGTTGGGTGAGGCTACATTTGAGAGGTGTAACAAAGGAGAGCAACAAGTCCCTGCTGGAGCCTGGGGGTGCAGATTTGGAGGGCACAGAGTAAAGATGGGATGAGGAGTAGGTTTTGGTGGCGGTCATGGTACAAATGTCTTTTAGAGGTAAACAGGCTGTATGACTTGCTGAGACTGAAGGGCAGCGGCTGCTGGGGAGGGCTGGAGCAGGCCAGTGGCCATAGGCGAGCGTGGGGAGGCTGTAGCAGAGATCTAGGCTATCACAGAACAGAATAAAGGGGAAGGAAGAGAAAAAGGACATTTGTTAAGTTTCAGTACTGCTGGTTTACACAGTGTTTAAATGTGAGACAGTCTGTAAACGTGATGAGTCTGGTTATTCAAAGCCTTGAGAAAAGGCCTGAACAACAGGGAAAACACAAACAAGACTGAAAATAAGGAAGGGGAATACATCCAGGGCAAGTATGGTATTTTACTGACATTAAACTGCATCCAGACAGCAACTATTTGGCAATTTCTTTCTGGAAAGCCTCCCAGCTTCCCCCCGCCCACACACACCCATTTAGGCTGAAGAATCTAAGCAACTAACCGATTCAACTGCTTCCATTCATGCCAAGATCCGAATTAAGAACCACATAACACAAAAGCAAAACCTTTTTTGTTCTTCAAAACACTGCAAAAGTATTTTCAAAAAAATCTTATGCAACAGAGTATGTATGATGCAGAATCAGGCTAGAAAGCCACAAAATTCCCTTGGAATTAGCAACTTAATTCAGATATTACTGCATAAATATATTACAACAGATCCACGTTACTGTGCCATTTGCATGCACCATCACATGAGAGATGAGACTGTTAATTAGCAGCAGTGTTAACCTGTTATACAAATTCCAGGCTAGGGACACTTCCATCAGCCCAACGCAGCCAAGAGACAGTTTTACTGCACGCAAGCCTATTACAGTAATTTAAAAACCAATAGAAGTCTTCATATGGGGGTGGGGAGCAGGAATTGTCTTTTAAAAATTCCTACATAACTGCACCTTTCTCTGGTTGATTCACTACACTGCGTGGTGACAGGAGCAGGCAAGCTGCCATCGAGATTCCATCTGTTATGCTTGGTGTGCAAAGCATTTCCTGTAACAGTGGAAGCATCATAAGGCAGAGACTAGCATTCCCATGCAATGGTGTGTTGTTAGGGTAAACATTAGGAAGTTTAAAACCCCTATTACTGCAAAGGATGAGAAGAAAGATTAAGTTCTGTAATCTGTGAGGTTTGCCATCAGGTGCTTAGCAGTAGGATGGTTACTATTCTTATTATCTTTCCAAAAGTAAACATTAATTATATTAATATCTGGTGCAGATTAAAAACTGAGACCAGCTTTTAATCAGGTATATTACGCTAAAAAGTTACTTTAAAGATAAAAGCCAGGCAGAGAGTTGTATCAAAGAGATCTAATCTTCCACTGCTGTTTTAAATAGGAACCAAAGATTAGGTGACCGATGTTTATAAATGGAAATCCATTTCCATAGAGTAAGGAATAACAGGCAAGACAATAAAGGAGTTAAATTATTATGAATAAAATTTTGAGGGAAATTATTATTTTCAAACGACAAGGCCTGACATAATGCTAGATTTTACCTTGGATTAGAAATGCTGGGTATACTTCTGTCATCAGGGAATTCAACTGCCAGAATCAAGCAAACTACTTTTCCCTCAGCACAAGTAATTTATATTGAAAATAATAGCCTAAATTAACAAAACTTTTTTTTTTTTTAAGGGATCTTCTTCCCCAAAAGAAAAAACAACCCCAAACCACACACACAAAATATTTCATGGAGGTCTAAATTCCTTAGGAAAATCCAGCAAGAGATGCCCTAAATCTGCTCAAGCAAAATATTCTGCCAGAAATCCCATTTCTGTCACCGCTTTTCATACCGTGTTGCAGACTGCAGTAACAGTCTCGCTTCAGCGCTAAGACAACTACAGTATGCAGACACAGCCGTGACTTGTTCTATAAAACAACGTAAAAATCCCTTCTCTTCATCCTTCCTTGAAAGTCGTAAGCAGAAAGGAATTTTTTCTGAACATTTCACTATTTTTTCCATTACTCTCATTGCATATTAACATCCTGTCTCATTTCCCATGTCCTCTGCTCCTCTTCTCTCCAGAAGGGAACCAAGTCTTCAAATCATTATCCCACAGAGCACTTAGCATCCCTTATAACCTGTTCCTGCCCACTGCTTACTTGCGTTGCCACACAGTGCTTCACACACCAAGGCACAACTAGGGAAGACGCAGGGAACCGCTGACATTTTCAACACATTAGTAGCAGGTAACTGCCAAATGACAGCCCACCATTCCTTCACCCAAAGTATTCCTTCCCTTGCCATAGAAACGTCACGCTAGCAGCACTTTCTACCTCACCCTTTCATCCCCGTGGAGCCATGCATTAATGCTCATTACCGGACCCACCCAACTAAAACCCAACACAAGTCTGTGCTCCTATTTCAGGGATTTCACTTCAGCTCCAGTCTGACCCTGTCAGCAGCAGTTGAGCATCGCATCGGGGGTACTTGGGGGATGCACCTCGTGGTTCCGCTTCCCTCCACGCAGCGGGGCTGAGGTACTCCGCGACTGCTTCATGAAGGAAAGCGCAACACAGCACGCAGGGACGCAAAGCTCCCTCCTGAGGCAAGCGAGCATGCGGATGCAGGCACACCATTCCTGACCCACTGCAACCCACCTGATCGGGAAAGTACACACACTTCTTCCCCCTACCCAGCTACCTTCCTGTAGGTTAAGTGAATTTAGTCCATTTATCCAGAAGCCAGAGGGAGTGAGTGCAAGAGAAGCAGCACGGACACATGCAGTGAGCTGGGAAATGGGCTGAAACAGGAGAGAAAGCGGGCTTTCCATTTTTTGGTGGTGGCAAGCTGCACAATTAGTGGAACGTACTCTCAAATCTCACCATTAGGACACTGCATGGACTATTAAGTGCTGTGGAAAAAAAGAGAATGTTCAAGCTAGATCTTCACAAATGGATAGAGAGTCTCAGAGTGGATGTGGAAGGGCAGAAGTCTGAAATCTGCATTCTGTATGTATTAAACCTTTTTGATAGGTTTAATTACAAAAAAAAAAATCAAACTAACTTAGAGTTCTTTAAATATGCAAAAGAGCCACTCCTGCCACATGAACTTCAACTTGTTTAATATCCATTTTTCTAATGAATACAAATTAGTCTCACATGCAGAATTTATGCTTGGACTGACTTAGAATGATAAAAGTATAATGCTATAGCTTTCCTCAGAGAAAGAGCTCTTATTTCACTAAACTGCCAACAATATTTTGTGACATGAAATTCTCAGTGTACTAATACTTGATTTGCTCTAGGTTTGGTGATGTCCAAAGCTAATGTAAATATGCTCAAACAATTTCTACTATAGATAGGGAACGGAGCCATGGGAAAAATTTAGAGATCAGAACAATGTCTTAGACAATTAAGGAGAACACGAGGCAAAACTATTCACTTCTCTTCCTCATCTTCCATCCCAAGGAACAAGACAAAGAATGAAAGGATAAAAGACGGAAAATAAAGCATGGACAAACACAAAGAAACCTATATAAGAATAAAGGCTTTAATAACTTATATTTTACAGAATAATCTATGCTTTAGAAAAAATAGGAAAAATGTGACATATACATGCCATAGCAATTATATTGCTCAAAGCCACTGAAACATGCCCACGTGATGATAATAAAAATTTATAGTGAGAAGAACATTTGGGACAGAAAATAACATAAAGGAGAGAAAACAGAACAAGAGGTGCATAGAAGAAAAGACACTGTAGCACTGCAACAGACAAAAATAGCATTTAAAGAAGAGCAATATAAGGGAAATACTGTCCATTATTTGCTTCATTTCACAGAAGTGTTAACATGAAAATATTACAGTAAAATAATGCTATAGTACATGTTAAGCATGTTGCAGGCATCATCACTAAAAAAACAAGCATAGTTTTCAGATTTTGAGGGAAATGAGAAAGTGGTATTTTGACACATGTATTTTTCACTCTAATAAACTCTGGGATATTTTTCCAAGCTGTAAGCAGGACAGCATTATGAACATTTGACAATGTCTGTGTACTTTAGAGGATTTCACTTCAAACCTTTGGTTATCACTGTTACCACCTACAGGTCATAATGCTGATTCCATTTTGGATCAAGTGTATTCTTCACAGTATCTGTAGAATGGCATTGGCCAGATCCGTCCACCACAACCTTAGCAAAGGGATCAGGAAGTCCTAAGAGGAGGAAAAGAAAAAAAAAACCTAGCAAATGGATCGAATTGCTTTAAAGTCCCGTGTCACTGCACAATATTATTTTTTAAATTTTTAGAATTTTAATATAAAATTTAAAAAATATTTTATTTGAAGTTGCCTTTTATTCATGAATGAGGGATAGTTAATGAATGGGAATAACATGACATATAAAGCACAGGAATTGGCTAAATTAGCAATTTATTTCATTGATACTGACCAAGAAAGTGTTGTGTCAAACACGTTTGAGAAAAAAGAATTCTGAACACTTATCTCTTCCAACTTCAGGATTGAGTTCTGTTCTGAATTCTGTTCAGCTCAGAACAGAAAAAAAGCAGGACTAGAGCAGCCTACGATTAGCTCTACTGCAACAACTATTCTAATGGGTTTAACTGACACCGGAAGGGGATGGTCCCACCACTAATCCCCCCAAGTCATGAGGTCCTGGCCCTTTTTTCCTTCATCCTAATTCCTCCCCTCCTGTGAGTGCCCAGCGAGTCAGCTGAAGGAACCACTGTGGTGAAACATCATTCCCATTTTCTGTCATGCGAGTTTTGTACCAGTTCTGCTTCCTCAGGTGACTCACGATGGAGCCAGGCAAGCAGCCGGGTGGCTCGAGACAAGTGTCAGGCAATGCACGTGGGGAGGGGAGGAACAGGACCTTCTGAGATTTGTGCATCAGCTCAGAAGTGCATCAAGAACTCACATCATGAGGGGTTTTGGTATTTTTGGCATTATTAAACCATTAAACACCTGAAAACTTGCAATCAATACCAAAATCCATACATAGAGCAAGTTTTAGAAGTGTCACAAATCACAATATAATTCTGCATCATCCTTTCTTCAACTTCTTTTCAAAGTTCAGGTCTGATCTTTCGAATTCTTCTGACTCCCAAGTGGGAGGCAGCAGGCAGGCGATCTGTGAGTGCATGCCTATACAGTCAATAATATTCCTCTCTCCCTCCTTCCTCCACCTCGTAGCACTGCTTTGAAAACAGTATTAAAATTAAAATACCATTTCAGAGTAGCTAAGTATTATGACACGATTACTAATAATTATGATGTACATCTGTCTGCTGGACGAAGAGGTTTTATATGAAAAATATTCTGAGAAATGTGGCACTAACTGAAAAACATGTAATTTGTTTCAGAGTAAATGCATCCCACTCCCATCAAAAGCAGAGATTGTGTCCACGTTTTAATAGTTATTATTATTATGAATCTGTGACAAATGTCATGTAAGAAAAGGTAAGCAGCCCTGAAATACAGCAGCATGAAAACATCAAAGCCCCCAGTTCTCCTTAATGCAAACACCTTAATACAATGACCTTGTGCAAACAATGATGTACAGAACCTGCGTAATATTTATCCCATCTATAAATGTGTAAAAATGTAAAGAGTACTCACGGAAAAAATCCTTTTTCACCAAGTTTTTTGCACACAGTACTGTAAGAAAAACAGAAAACCAAAATTAAGTTACTGGTTCACAACGGGGTGTTTTTTTTGTTTGTTTGTGGTTTTGTGTTTGATTGGTTTTTTAAGTTACTTTACCTGTCCAGCATTCCAGAAAATCCTGCTCAAAATAAAATGAATGAACATAAACGAATTGTACTCCTACATCATTTACATTGTCATGTTAAATAATTCCTGAAAGTTGAGCCAGAATTGTCATCTTCTGGCAACTTTCCTTTAGGTAGATTACAGTGGAAGTGATATGGCAGTGGTTTCCTCAGGCTATAGTTTCAAATGCTTCCCTCACTCACACACACACACCCCGGTTCTGCCAACTCTGTGTTTACCGTTTCTAACAGGTTCACCATAGGGTGGCACAAACAATTGTGCCAGTAAGACTAGGGCTATTTCACAAGCAGTCTCTGATGTTCTGTCCCACACACCAGCAAAAGCTTCCTTGACCATAAAAAACAGCACGCTAGGTCCAGGCCTTTCTGTTACCCTGCGTGGAAACTAAATGAACTTTTTTACCTGAAAAACATTTGGGTGGAGTAGACTAACTTTAACACCAGAGTTTTGATGGCTCCAAAGATATGTTTTATTTGTAGAAGCTGATAGTTGTTTCAAGCTTTTTTGTTTAAATTAAAAGGGAGGAACATTCGCATTTGTCAACTAAAAATACCAAGGGAAAAACAATCTCATGAGAATAGAGTAAATACAAAAAAGTAAATAAATAAATGGGAAAAGGTAAAAGGGACAACTTTCACACAGAGATGCCAAGGTACACACAGAATACTCACAAAATGCACCACTGCTCAACTACATATGCTTATCTATTATCACAGGTTTAGTAAGCAGGAAATATTAGATTCCCCTGTGAAAGATTAAAACATCTACTGATAACACAAAAGGGTTCTTGGGTATTAAGTGAAAGCGTGAATTCTCCCAGCGAGTACAATAAAGAAAAAAGGGGAGGCTGGGAGGTATTTGGTTGGAACCCATACTGCACAGGACTCCCCAACACCACCCCCTTGGATATTTGTTCTAAGAGACCACCAGTATTTATTACTACTAGGAAATGCAAAGACAGGAAAGTGCATCCAATAATTGCATCCCACAGACACCACCTAAACCCAAACCAAATCAGTTATGCCTCCCCCACAGAACATCCTTAAACTGATGCCGCAGGGCTACCGATTCTCCAGTTTCTTTTACAGTATCTGCCCAAATCAAAGGAAGCGGAAGTGGTGCATGAATGCTATCCTGGAGACTTCCATGGACAAGGCAGAGAAGCACCACCCTGAACACTTCTGCATGCTAGCACAGTCAAAGTTACCTATTATTCTAAATCAATGGAATTTATGAACATAAAAATTGGGAAAACATGAAGATGTCGATTTCAGTGAAACTGTTTTCCATGGGAATTCATCACTGCAACATTCAGTGAAAACTATTCAGGTCTAACAAGTTTTGGTCCTCCATAAAACAGAAGGGGACCCCTATTAATCATAGAATCACAGAATG